GTCAGTTTCATCCGGGTATGCTCCATCTGGTGAGGACCATATATAGTCACTATTTATATTGTTGAAAAAAGGTATTTGCAACGCATACATATTGGTTTGTTTCTAGTCATTTGTTTCCTTTTTTTAAGTTTGAATTGTGAATTGAGTGATAGTTTGCATGGTAGAACATTGGTTTTATATTCATCCTATTGTATTTTGTTTCATTGCAATGATTACAATCCCTTCCATGCATCATCATTCATGTGGTTTTCTAGGAACAGCTAGTGAGTTTGAACCACTGACCTTATGATTAGCAGTTCAGTGCTTATCCTAGAGTGCCATACCAGGACTCAAGTTATATGCTTAACCACTAACTTAAAGCCCAGTAATTCACATCCACCAGCTGCAACACAAAATAATCATAGGCAATCTGTTTTTGTAAAGATCATTGCCTTGGAAGTTTGATAGGGCAGTTTTACTGGGTTGTATACGATACGTATGAGTGAGAATCCACTGAATGGCAGTGGGTTTGGTACGCCTTTTTGGTATATTGGGATAGAAAACACAGGATGTACCACCCTGGGTTATAAGGATAAAGAACCATGGGAAGACAAGAGTAGCCAGAGGAAATGTTTCCCTGAGTGTTGATGTTAAGCAGCAGAACATCAGGGGAACAAAGAGGAAAGTCAGTACTATTAAATGAGCAGCACATGTACATGAAGAAATGAAGTACATGGAGAAAAGACAAGCAGGTGTCGCGGTTGGGCAACCTTCATTCACCAGATATAATTGAATTGCAAGTGCTTAGGAGAAAAGTCACAGAGAATGAGTCTGGAAAATTAACCTGGGACCAAAAACAAAGTATCTAATTGCCTTGATAGAAGTTTGGATGTACTTGTTATGGTTGTTAAGTGCTGTCAAGTTGGTGTCAACTCAATAGTGACTCTGTATAGGGTTTCCAAGGAGCGGCTGGTGGGTTTGAACTGCCAACCTTGAGGTTCAAACCGATCTTGCAGTTCAAACCGACTAGTGCTTTATCCTGCAGTGCCTCACCAGGATATACTTTGTTGTTGTTGTTACATGCCGTTGAGTTGATTCTAATCCATAGTGACCTTGTATAGGGTTTCCAAGGTGACCTTGAACAACCAACCTTGCAGTTCAAATGGCTTTGCAGTCTAGCTCATCAACCCACAGCACCACACCAAGACTCCTACTATACTAGGCCCTGTCAAAAGATCATGGAAAATTTCCTTTATCATTTAATTCCATTTTTCTGTGAACTTTTTAAAGCTCTCTCTTATGTAATAGGTAATGGACATTCCTTGAAGAATTTTAAGCATGGAAGTATTTAAAAGATATTTAGAGAGTAGAACCTATGTAACTTGCTGAACAATTAGAGGTGGAACTGAAACATGGGAGTTGTGTGGAAGTCTTCTAAGGACAACTGTTAAAATCACTAATAGAAAATGTAAACGTTATGTCCACACTGGAAAACAGTATGGCAATTTTTCACAAAGCTAAACACAGACTTAAAATATTCATAAAAATGAAATAAGAATTAAAAAATAATTAACAAACCTAAATAGAAATATAAGATTCAATTAAGAAATCTAGTATTAAAGAGGAAGAAAGAAGAGGGAAAAAAAAGTATAATCTGGTACAATTTGATGAACTTGACCTATACTTATGGATATAGTAGCTTAAGAGAGGGAACGAATCTTAACAGCAAGGATCATTCCCACCTCCTCTGTACACAGGGCTATACACAAGGTTGACAGGGATGAGCAACTTAGACATTGGCTACCCAAAATCGGGGAGGGGTGAGGCAAGGCAACAAAGGCATGAAGTGACTAACTTACAAGTTTTCAAGAGGGAGCTTACTTTCAGAGAGTGCAGAGGAAGGTAGACTCTCCACTGAGTGGTTTCCAACCTGTCTGGATGGGACTGGTGAAAGGAGATGGGGATAAGACTTTGTAGCCCAATAGTGAATAATTGCTATCAGGACTGATAGTGAATGCTGTAAATGTAAAGGTGGACATTTTATAACAAAAGGAGGGAAGTGATTGATCTTGCAGTCCAGGAGCAGAGGTCCTTGGGACTGTCAAGGGAGAAGAACAGAGTGTGGGACCCTATCCAGAGAAGCAGTGATGCCAGAGATGGAGGCAGAGATGATGATGTGGAGAGATGGAGTGGCTAGGGACTGTAGACTCAAGGAGGGAGAGGGGCTTTGTGCTGGTGGCTGGGAAGCTGGTGTGCAGGGTATACTCTTTGATTGTTTGAATGGTTATATATTCCTGAGTGCTTTGGTGTACATAAAAAAAAGCTAAAAACAAAACCAGAGGGATGGGAGGCAAATGCTATTGAATGATCATGCATGGAGGGAAATGTAATCATTGCAATGAAAGGAAATACAATAGGATGAATGTAAAGCTGATGTTCTCCCATGTAAACTATCACTCAATTCACAATAAAAACTAAAAAAAAAAAGAAAGAAAGAGAGAGAGAGGAAGGTAAAGGGCAGCAGTCAGTGACTGTTGTATCTACAGATTCAGTAACATGGTTCCACCATTTGGACTTTTCAGGTCTATTTTATGGAAACTGATTGAACCTAATGTCTACTGAGACAAGAATAAAGGCTTGAGCAACCTGGTTTACCACTTTAAAAAAGAAAGAAAGAAACCTAGTATTACAACTATTGGAATCACAGAAACCATGCATAGAAAAATTTTCCAAGAGAAAACCAGAGAGTGCTGTCCCAGAATTAAACAGCTATCTAAGTTTGGAAACCCAGATAAACCCCAATTAGAAAAAGTATGGAAAGATTAACACTGTGATATATCCTAATAAAATTATTACAAACTAAAGACAAGGAAAGAATTACAAAAGCAGCAAGAGAAAAATTAAATAGAACATTCCAAAAGTCTTTCATAACCATCAATATAGATTTCTCCTCAGAAACTGTTCAGGAGAAGACACTGCAATAACCAACTTGTATAAAATACTGAATGAGAACCGTTACCAATCAATAATCATTTACCTAGCAAAGTTGTGATTCAAAAAGAAAGGGGAAACCAAGAAATCTCAAGAAATAGAAACTGTGGCAGTTTGCTGCTAGTCCTATTGGCACTAAGCTTTGTGATGCCAACTGCAAGGTCAGTAGTTAAAACCCATTGGCTGCTCTGAAGGAGAAAGAGTAGCTGTCTGCTCTTGTAAAGATCTATAGTCTCAGAAACCCTAAGAAGCAGTTCTGCTCTGTCTAGTGGGGTCACTAAGACTCAGAATCAACTCATTAGCAGTGAATTGGGTTTGGGTTTAGACCAGCTTTACAAGTAGTTGTGTAATCAAGGGAGTCTGGGTGTGATGCTGTGAGATAATATGCACTGGACCACAAGGTCAATTTGAAGCAAAAGGTGAGTGGTTCAAACGCACCAGCAGCTCCTGGAAACCCTATACAGGGTGACTATGAATTGGAACTGACTCTTGATGGCACTTAACTATAGCGAAACTCCAAATGAAAAGACAAAAACATTATATAAATACCCAAATATATACATGGAAAAAAAATAAATTAAAAAGAAGAGCGAGATCTCTGAAAAATACAAGATAGGAAATCATAAAGACCAAATATATGGCATTTTCAGGACATAAATTCAGTCATTAAATGCCAGAAACAATATGCCAAGTTTTTAAGAAATATATGCAAAGTATAATTATTGAATATAAGTTGTTGTGTTTTGATCTTAATAGAGATTTATCAACAGATATGGAGGGGTGGAGAGATGTATATCAGGAATAAATTTAATATGCAAGATAACTTCATATATTGAATGTTGTTGCAACTGGAAATTTTAGAATGCATAACAACTAAGAAATGACCAAGAGAAAATACTATGAGAAAAGAAAGAAGAAAGTCAAAAGGTCCACCACAATGAAGCAGCCAAATACAAGCAAAAACAGAAAAATTAGAAGAAAACCCAAACAAACCCAAACCCACTGCCTTTGAATGGACTTGAGTCATAGCAACCCTATTTGTTGTTAAGTACCGTAGAGTCGGTACGGTACTGACTGTTAACGACCCTGTACAGGGTTTCTAAGTCTGTAAATCTTTACAGGAGCAGAAAGCCTCATCTTTCTCCCGCGGAACAGCGGGTAGTTTTGAACTGCCGACCTTGAGGTTAGCAGCCCAACTCATAACCACTATACATTGTTGTTGTTATGTAGTGCCATCGAGTCAATTCCGACCCATAGTGACCCTATGTAGGGTTTCCAAGGAGCAGCTGGTGAGCTTGAACCAGCAGTCTTGCAGTTCAAATGACTTTGCATTCTGAGGCATTAGTCCACAGCGCCACACCAGGATTCCAACCACTATGCATAGGACAGGCTAAATTGGGTTTCTGAGCCTGTCAGTCTTTCAGGAGCAGGTACCCTCATGATTCTCCTGCAGAGTGACTGGTGGGTTTGAACCACTTACCTTATGGTTAGCAGCCCACTGCCCTTTACCCACTGCCCTACCAGGGCTCTTTGTCAAAACTATTGAGGGCAATTTAACAAGCAGTTGTTGTTAGGCACTCAGGGATATGAATAAGTAGAACACAAACATTTTAAGGGAAGTGAAACAGTTCTACATGATTCTATGATGGTAGAAACATGACATCATGCCTTTGCAATGAAAAACAGACTTGACTGTCTACATGTGTTTTTTTGGGTTTTTTTCCTATTCTGTATTATAGCTATAAAAATATATTGAACCTTCCTGTAAAATTTGAACATGAGACAACAATTATGCATAGATATATTGGTTCATCCATTGTAAGAAAAGTGCCACACTATTGCAAGATGTTAATAACAGGAGAACGTATGTGCAGGAGTAAAGCGGGGATCAATTACCCTCTGTACTATCGCTGTGATTTTCTGTAAACCAAAATCACTGTCTTATTAATAGTGTAAAACCTATCATATAACTAAAAGGAGCACTTCAAGTTCATGAAAATGTTGACAACATACTGTTGATTTTTCCCCAGTGGGAGAGACGTCTGAGATTTGCCCAGAAGCCACGGATGTTCTGTGTGATGACAAGAAGTGTATTGCGTCCCACCTTGTTTGTGACTATAAGCCAGACTGCTCAGACAGATCTGATGAAGCTCACTGCAGTAAGTTTGTCTTTTTGATGTAGTGCGTCAAGTTCGGCACAGGTTTTAAGAAATATATTAACACTGAAAGATGCTGAGAAGTTTTGTTTTCATGTACCACAGTAGATTTCAAATAGCTGAGACATTTTCACAACAAATATCCTATTATCAGCTCTCTCTCACCTTCATACTTGGTGTAGTGAATCACTTTGATATGACCATTCTAGCCATGGTATTATGTCTGTCACAAATTGATGGGCTGTGATTATGCAAATTGAATGATTTATAATCTACCAAGGGGATTAGAGGCATTCTTTGAAATTAACAGTTTCCTTATGTAAAGGTTGAGGGGGAACTCACTACCATCAAGTGTTCAAACTGTTGAATGGAAAACTGATTTGTTCTGCAAACCTTCACCCAATTCACAACAAAAAGAAGAAAAGGAGAGATCAGACACACACACACACACACACACAGAGAGAATATTTTGTTAGATTTTTTTTGTTAGATTTATACCTGAGTCCACTGCCCACTCAGTCAAGGACTAATTATTTAATAATGGGGCAAAAGCTTATTGTGTAGTCTACCTAAATGTTTGGAAAGTCATGAGATTTTTGCAGCCTGGATGGTGAGAAAAGGCACAATTATAAATGGTACATAGATTAAAGAAGATTTTATATATATATGCATTGGACCACAAGGTTAGTTTGAACTGCAGGGTTGGCAGTTCAAACCCACCAACTGTTCCTTGAAAACCCTTTACAGGGTTGCTATGAGTCAGAACTGAGTCAATAGCTCTTAATAACAACAATATTGTTACGTGCCGTCAAGTCGATCCCAACTCATAGTGACCTATTACAGGGTCTCCAAGTAGTAGCTGGTGTGTTTGAACTGTCAACCTTGTGGTTAGCAGTCCAGTACTTATATCTAACTTAATGAAAAGGAAAATATAATATGCCAAAATGTGTGAGATACAGCAAAATCAAGGAATAGAGAGATGTATATTATTAAATACATACATTTGAAAAGAAAAATAATGTAATATCAATCATCTAAGTGTCCACCTTAGGAAAATGTAGGAAAGAGAGTAATTTAATCCTAAAGCAAACAAAATAAAAACAGAATAATAAAATCAATGAAATTGAAATAATGTGAATAGCAGTAAAATTCAATCAAAAACAAAACAAAGAACTGTATTTTTGAAAAGAGTAATAAAAATCTATGACAAATGTCTAGCTAGTCTAAGCAAAAAAAGAATAGAAAAGACAGATAATACTAATATCACATATAAAAGAAGCCGTAATTACTGATCTCATGGACATTCAAAAAGATAACAAAGAATTATGAACATCTCTGTGTTCACAAATTCAGTAACTGAGATAAAATGGATGAATTCCTTGGAAGGCACAATCTACTAAAGCTCATGCAAGAAAAACATAGATAGTCTGGAGATGTCTACAGCTATTAAATAAGTGGAATCAATATTTAATAACTTTCAAAAATAGAATGTTCCAAAGTAAGATGCTTTTACTGGTGAATTCTATCAAACACTACAGGAAGAAATTATATCCACTCTCTACAATCTCTTCCAGAAAATGGAAGCAGAAGGAAAACTTTATAACTCCTTCTGAGAGGTGAGTCTTACTCTAAAAACAGAACTAGATAAAGACATTACAAACCAATCTTTCATGAGTCTAGTTGCAAAAATCCTCAACAAGCATTAGCAAATTGTATACAATTTACGAAAAGAATTATATACCATGACAAAGTAGAATTTACTTCATAGATGCATGTACTGGTTTAACATCTGAAAAATCAATTAATCAGTCACATCAGCAGGTAAAGGAAGAAAAATTGTATCATCATACAGTAGATGTAGAAAAAACATTTGACAAAATAGAACTCTCATTCATAGAAAAATTTCTCAGCAAACTAGAAATACTAAATAATTTCTGCCTTTTATTTAAAAAAAATAAAAGCCCCTCAAAACAGAAGTACCATTAACATCACATTAATGGGGGAAAAAAACTGAATATTTTCTCTTTAAGGTTAGAACAAGGCAAGCATGTCCCTGTCACCTCTTATTCAACACTGTGCCAGAAATCCTAGATAGTGCAATAAAATAAGATAAGATATATACTGAAATAGAGGAAATTAAATTGTCATGTTCACAGATAACATGAATATCACTGCTGAAAATTCTAACAATTTAACAAAACAACTGCTGGAACAAATAAACAAGTATGGCAAAGTTACAGGGCATGAGGTTATACAACCATCAAATGTTTTCCTACATATTAGCAATAGACAATTTGAATTTGCAATTAAAAACACAGCATCATCTACAGTAAGACCAAAAAATAAAAATTTAGGTATAAATCTAACAAAATATTCAGCAGTCCAGAAACAAAATGATGTATTGCATTAGGCAACTCTGTTGCACAAGACCCTTTTGAAATGTTTAAAAACAAATGCAATCCCCTGTTAAAGTTTTCAGAAGCTAGGCAAAGCATTGCGGTGCCTGGCCCTCAAATGTGCCATGTGCCTTTGCTCTCAAGTCAAGAATCACTGCGCAAATAGGAATTGTTACCTTTTTTTGCCCTGCCCATCATGTAAATCAAATGTCTAGGGACATTAGTCTCGCTCATATGATCCGAGAGTAAATAGACAAAGGCTCACAAAACAGACTAAATGCTTTAGAGAAAGGAAGACCGCTTAAGGGAAATAAGACCCAATATATCCAGACTACACTCCCAGCTAAGGTTACTCAAGGTATAAGTAGATTTGTGTTATCTTTCAGTAAACCAGAAATTGATTGGAACTTAATCCAACAGCATTTTAGGAGGTTGTGGAACAATATACACTTGTCTGTGGATATTCATCAGCTACATGCTCAAATTTATGATATAAGTAATTTTCAAAGTGAACACTGAGTGGCTACTAATTTGCTACCCCTGCTAGAGAGTAAGATCCCCTAAGAACTTGATTGAACCTCAGCATAGTGATCCTGCTTGGTCACCTTAGAGCAGGTGGTGGACCGGCAACGTCTGGCGCATGGGTCCTCAGCTGATCTCCTCCCTCCCTGCCTTCCTCGGATGGCAGCTGTTTATGCTGGACGTGTGGCCAGAGACGGGTAAGGATCACGTGGAACCTCGGCTACTTAAGACAGAGACATTGCCATGCTGCAATGAGTCTCAATGACTGGTAAGACTGAGGAATTCGCACTGACCACCTAAGACAGGCAGCGTCCCTTAAACAATCAATAAATAAGGAGGATTCAGATGCAGACAGTGCAGACCCAGTCAGGAGGCCAAGCCCCTGTGGGCCCAAGCGTTGTTGACCGTCCAAACCATAGGCTCTGAGGAGCAGACTTGAGCTACCTAGTAGACATAGCAAACTGTCCCTCATCTGATTATTCAGTAATGCTTGTTAGTAATCTCATACATGAGCCCTGGATATCCACAGACAAATGTAAAAACCTTCCCTAAAAGCCGAGACTGTAAATTCCAAAAAGGCAAGCCCCCACCCATCCAAAAAAAAAAGCTAAAGAGGATAGAGAGAAACACTGTAAACTGATGATATATGGAGGGGATAATAATCAATGTAATGGAACAAGCTATATGAATGGTTAAATGTGAAGCTGATGATGTGCCCTGTAAACTTTCACTCAATGCAAAATAAAAACATTTAATTAAAAAAAAAAGGGCAACATTTACTTAAGGACAGATTTGAGAAGGGTTGGGATAGTGGTTGGAATGATATAAGGAAACACAGGGAGGAATGGAATGATTTTTGCTGCATGGAGGAGATTGAAATAATTGAGATGAACAAAATGTATGATTTGCTGAATGTAAAACTGATGGTCTTGTCTGTAAACCTTCACTCAAGTCACAATAAAAAGTTTTTAAAAATAAATAAATAATAAAAAAAAGAACAAATGCATCAGTTTAAGGACTAAGGTGTCCTGACCCAAGCCATGGAATTTTCAGTTGCCTCATTTGCATGCGGAAGTTGGACAATGAATAAAGAACCCCATAGAAAAATGGATGCTTTTGAGTTATGATGTTGGGGAAAAGTATTAAAAGTACTACGTATCATGAAATACCAGAAGAACAAATGAATCAGTATTGAATGCTCTGTAGAAGACAGGTTGGTGAGACTTCATCTCTCATATGTCAGACCCTGGAAAAGGACATCATGCTTGGTAAGTAGAGGGCCAACAAAAAAGAGAAAGAGTCCCCATGAGATGAATTGTCAGAGTGGCGGCAGCAGTATACGTAAGTGCAACAAAAATTGTAGGGGTAGCGCTGGGTCAGACAGTGTTTTGTTCTATTGTACATAGGGTAGCTGAGTTGTGGCTGACTCAGCAACACTTCACAACAAACATGTCTAGGTTCTATGCATATTTTGTTAGGTTTATACCCAAATAAGAATAAAATATTTATACCTAAATATGCACATAAAATACGCATAAAGTTTGGGTAAAATATTTTTTAAATATCTCAATAAAAGGAGAACTATTCTTTGTTCATAAGGTTGATGTATCCAATACGATGTCAGTTCATCCTAACTTGATCTATAGTTTCAATGCAACCCCTATCGAAATCCCATAGCAACAAACTGATTTTATATGGAAAGCCAAATGATCAGAAATAGCCAACACAATATTGAAGAATGAAAATGGGGTACTGAAACTACCTAGCTTCAGGATTTACTCAAAGCTACATTAATTAAGACAGCATAGTAATTGTAAAATAGTAGACATAAAGTAATGGAACAGATAAAGAACACCAAAACAGACCTATACAAATGTAACCGACTAATCTTTGACAAGGAAAAAAAGACAATTAAAAGGAAAAGGAATAGGCTTTCAACACGGATGCAATTGGACATTCATTTGCAAAAATAGCTAGAATAATTGTGGTTGTTGTTGTTGTTAAGTGCTGTTGGATAGGTTCTGACTCATAGCAACCATGTATAGGGTTTCCTAGGAGCAGCTGGTGAGCTTGAACCACTGACTC